ACTTTTCCACTCATTGCATCTCACACATGTATCGATACATTGATCCATCGATACACGCAGTCGTGTTTCCTAGCTTTAAAGCGGCATTCCCTTTCCAGAACTGATAAAGTAATATCGTTACGCTCACGCTGGAGAAAGAGAGGGTTAGAGGGGAAACGGGGGAAATTTCAACGTAAAATTATAGCGGCGTCTACTCGCGGCCGAAATATCGTGTTCACAGCGTGAAATGCCTCTCGGAATTAACAATTGGTACTTGTTGTACATATTACCGTTATCGAGTGATCGTTAAGTACCTTACGTGCTGATCGCCGTAATTTGCGTAATGAAACGCGCGAGCCGAGCGATTACGACGGTAACTATCGCGTTGCTAACCGTCTCTCGCGGGTGGTTTCCGCCGCGCGTTTGTCCACGATAATCTGCGCTTTCATCTGTGTGGGATCCTGTCCGCCGAGAAAGGGTTAACGGTAGTTCGTTCGCGCCGCCTCAATTGTCCGACGTAAGGATTTTAGGCTGCGAGTGTCACGGCCGGTGTCTTGTGTCCGTGGTCGGACTATAACGCAGTTGAAATCCGGGGACCAGGTTGATTACTATCTCGCGGTCATTCGCAAACTCCCGTTCGCTCGCTCTTAATTGACCGCCTCGTTGGAAACGAGCGTTCGACAATACACCGCGATAAGCGCATACCGGCCGATCTAATTGGTAGTTAAGGCACTCATCGGGCCCTCTTTACTGCGAATCTCCTTGATATCGCATTATTGTATCACGCGTGCGTGAGCTTCCTCCTGCGCTTCATCCCTTTCGACGGCGGAGGCAACTTTACTCTTACACACGTAAGAGTAGCGTCTTTGCTGAATCTCAAGCGCGGATGGTAAATAGTGGAAAATCGTGCAATTAATATGAATTTGTATTCCGCACGAGCGTGGCCGCGTTCTTTCCGGGCGAAACTTCCCGATTGTTATTTCCACGTGGATGTTACGGCGCGAGGAGAGCCTCGGGTGTCTCGTCGTTTGAATATCAAGCATTCGCTCTCAGCGACGTTCGAAAGCCCGTACCTTCCGCCAAGGTATATCGTCGGGTTTTCGAGCTCGTTATCCCGATCGACTAGTCGTTCGCGGTCTGCTCGATTAAAACGACCGAAAGACGCCAATCTGCGCTCACCGTTTATCGCTCTAATCTAAAGATACATTCGGACACACCGCCGTCGGGAAGGTAAACACTTTGCAGTATATTGACACAGATGCATCGGAATTACAAGTGACATTTAAAAGATATTCGCCTATAGATTAATGCCACTGATAATACGCTGATCCGCGAGCGAGATCGAATTAATGGCGGGAAAAGATATCGCGACCGTCTCGGAGAGCTAGCGATTTAAAAAGAAGAAAAAAAACTTTCCGACGGCCATCCGACCGCGCGAGGTCGAAGCGCTTTTTTCAAATCGCCACTTTACCACGTCGCTGATATATCGCGACGTGATATACGTGATACCTCTTACGTAGTCGTACGGTTAATTCGCTCGTGTCGCTTTTGGTATACGTATCAATGATAATTCCATTTCCTCGGCCACGTTTTCATTCCACACATCCGTGAGTCCTTCGCAAAGGGGGGGTGGGCATGCATTTCGCGACGAACGACGTCAGAAGCCGTCGTGCGGTTGACTTGATTTCACAATCACGATCGCGTTAGATGCAGATCACGCCTCAGACGTTCGTTCGCGTTATCATTGCGTTATCGCGGAACGGAGGGGCATTTTCGTTGACGAATCGTCATCAACAGAAGCGTCCGCTGAGTCCTCGCGGGCCATCGCAGACGTCCTACCTCGCGCAACGCCGTCGCAAGGTGCGTTCGTGATTTGGAAAGTTCACGTTTCCGTGAACCCGCTCTTTCTTCTCCCTCTTTCTTCCTCCTTTCCTCCTCGTTCCTTCTTAAAGCGGGCGGAACACGCTTTCGAGAGTTGAGAGGCCGCTTTGATTTAGGAATAGCCTGCGTGTCACGCCGGATTGGCGCGTTCCCTCGGAAACGCAAGCTCGAGGGCCAGCGAGAGCTGCGATCGCGCTCGCTCCGATACGTCCAGCCGAATCCGACTCGTTTCGTGCGATCGCTCTCGTCATTCAGCGATAAGACGACAAGACGACGGCGAGCTGGCAATGGCGCGTAACCAAAGATCGCCGCCGCTACGCGCGCGGCTAAGCGTACGTAAGTTGGGCTACGTAGAGCCAGGGTGGCGGCCGGCAGGTGGGGGCGAGGCAGGATGCAGGCAGTGTCAAACGCCATCGCGAAGAGGGAGAGAGAGTCGCCCCGTTTTGGGGGCTAACGGCGGGTGATGAGACAAAACGGAACGGGAGGCGGAAAGAAGGCGGCCGAAAGGAATGAAGCGAGAAGGAAGACGGGGAGAATCACAGGGGCGCGGTAAAGAGTGGAAAGAGAAGACGGGTTAACGGAAGAGAAGAGAAGAAAAGAGTAGAGCAGAGAAGAGAAGAAAAGAGGGAAGAGAGGACTCCCTAGAAGAGAGGAACGAGCGGATGGCCCGGCGTTGTAGAGTATGCGAGAAGGGGAGGAGAGAGAGAGAGAGGGCGAACGAGACGGGCGCGAGGGGAAACGGTCGAGGCGATGCACGCTCGAGACCAAGGGTGTCAAGGCGGGGGGAGGGGAG